AACATGCCTATAAAATAAATTGTAATGCTTAAATAGCGCTTTCCATCGTATCAACAATCTCAAAGCGCTTTACAGTTATTCCCCAGTTCATCAGGCCACGAGAGCACGCGGCAGCCGATATCAGCGCACATTCGGTCCTCTACCCTCACAGGTACCCATTCATACTCCTGGGTGGAGAGAGGCATTTGTAGTTAAGTGTCTTGCGCAAGGGCACAAACATTATGTTCCTGGCAGGGTTCGAACACGAGTCCAACACCGTAACCACTGGACAAAGGCATTCTACCATGAAAAATACCAAAATAAGGTTTTTATTTTGTCAACAACTTTCCTAAGAATTGTGTCAATAAATTCCCGCCAGAAACTGTCAAAGATTTTGTATTTAATCATTCCCTATACTTCACGAGCAGTAAAATAAATTATTCGAACAAGAAAAGTAAGGCACAATGATTTATTTTATCCATTGAAACGAATACTTATGCATGATATCAAGCCTGGCATTCTTGTGCATGACATTAGTCACGAAGCTAACAAGCTTCATATTTTCACCTCACCTCAAGGGTACGATCATTGTCAAGACGATAATAATTTGGCCAAATAAATATCGCCCATTACCTAAGCAAGGCAAAGGACAGTCAAGTTCAGTACCGAGGAAATCACTCCACATCATCTTTAGCTTTCCTCATTTCCATAAAATCGATCGGGCGCCGACCGCGTGTTATCTCCCCCCGCTCTCTTCTTCTTCACTTCTGCCTCTTCTTCTTCGTCGCGTTATTCCATCCTTCTCTTTTAAGCATGCGTGCGCACGATTTTATTGGCCACCCAGAACCGTGCGAGCCTTCAATATTTTTCAGCTCGCATGAATTGTAAATAGCCGTGTACAAGACGATCGATAAAGTCGAGCGCTGATTGGGGGTCGGGTTCGGGGGGCGCGCGCGCGCGTCTATACCATTGGACGACGCCATAGGGCGCGCTATTGTCCGCGGAGATTTCTATTGTTCTGGACCGGGGAAAAACTGATGACCTCGACAGTGCGAGGAATGGGAAGAGAATGAAGTCAATTAATTGCGCTGGAAATGAAATTTCCCTCGGAAGTAACCCTCAGTTCAGGCTCACATTGCCTTTGCTACTTCACCTTTTGTTTTCTGTTGTTCTTTGAGAAAATAATGTAAAGTCTGTTGTCTTGTATTTTTGCCTGCTTCGTATCAAATTCCAACGAAACATCGGGAGCGGTTGAAGTACGCTGTGAATGCTCGGGAATTTGACTGAAGGAGGGAAACTCGCGTTGTGAACAAAATAAATTTACCTTTGAAATATTTACACAGGGTGGTTGTCTGTATTGAAAGGTAGGAGAATGTCTTGAAAACACAGTCTCTTTTTGTTTGCGAAGTGCCGAACAAGTTTTGTTTTGGTAAGGATTGTTCTGACTCGGACCTTTAGCTGTTTCTCAAGCGTCGGCTTTGTCTCCTGCTCCCGCTTCGAACATCAGCTTCGTGATGTTAGGCCACTGATTTTAGAACCGTCTGCAGACTCAATAATGGGGTTGGTAATATTCTGCAATACGCGAATGGGAAATTATGTCAGTCCAAGCCAATATTTTCAGAGTCATCTGGGGAGACAGGTTTGCGCAGTGCTTACTTTCCTCGCCTTCCAGCGCTATGGCCCGGGTTCGATTCCTGCCTGGGCCATGTATATTGGGTTTTCAGTCCCTACCTGATCCCGCGGGTTTTCCCCAGAATATTCGTCTGGGGTTTTCCTCCCACCTTCTAAAAACTGTAATTTCTTGTCATTGTCTTCCCTCTATAGGCCTAGGTTTCTTCAGGCTTTCGAGCTACACTATTTAGGGCTCTTTTGGGGAATTGGTTTCATTACCAGAATAATATAAAACTAAGATCAAAAATAGACTCTTTCTGTCCGGTTCGAGCACCAAAGCCTCGAAGTGTGTCTGAGGGCTGGAACGAAGCGAAACGTCCAAATCTGATGGCCCATCCGCTTCTCTCTCGTTATGGTGTGTTTCGCCTCCATTGTTCATAAAGTACTTCGCATTACGACAGAGAAGGTCTCCGCATTCATTTTACCCTTTTACTTAACACAGTGGATCAGCAAGGTCACGAAGGGATGCTTCAGCCTTCCGTTGTTGCCCTTCATCTTCACCACCACCGCGAGCCCAGCTTGCTTCTCAAAACATTCACCATCTGTGCATGCTCGGCCCGCAGAGTAAATAAGAAGAAAACAAGACAAATCTGGCTGAGCTCCGGCTCGGGCAAAGCCATTCCCTGGTGTATTTAACATCTCATCCAGCGGCTAATTTCCCCCCAATAAAAATCACCTAGGGACCCTTAAAACTCGCCGGCTTAACCAGTCAGACGTGCACGTAATATACGCGTGGAGCGGTGCATCGCACCAGACGCGCTCGGCAAGTGAGATGGAGGCAAAGTAGGGACGTGTGGATGGAGAGAGCAACCCAAAAAAAAACTCCGCCGTTTTGTTTTATCGGTTTTTGCGAGTCGACGGACCATCTGAGGTCCGCTGTGGGAGTTTTTCTCCTCCAGTGGCCACGGCTGATTTCCCCTGCCATCACGCGGCTCCCTGCGCACGTTGCGCAATGCATTTTGATGCTCGGTATTCATGGCCTTATGTTCGGACCCCACGGGATTGATTCGGCACCGATGGATGATACCCCCTTTGCCTTAGGGGTACGGGACTGGTTGTGCTTTTGGTATTTGAAGACGTCGGCCCCAAGGGGTTGTTCGAGCCAATTTCGATCCAGACATTGTTTGATCCGTTAACTGTGACCACAATTCGGTTCTGCAGGCCTGTTGCCTACTCAAATCCGAGTAGTCCTTAAGTAACCGAACTGGCCAACTAATAATAAACCAGCCACTTTAATTAATATCTGTTTAAGATTAGATGACCATGTCCTAGCCTTGGTCGTCGATCTCCACCTCTGTGATTCAGCGGTTGCATAGCAAAATACTCAGCATCATACTTGTATTTTATACTGACCAGTGGTCGTACACGTCGTCACCTAAAAAGTGTATAAGCACAGTTGAGATTGAATACACCACATTTCAAAAACTTAGGATCCAATTAACGAGGCCACTTGACCCACTCTTTGATAAACCATAACTGCTTAATATTTGACAGCATGTTTTTGATTGATAGCATGTTTTATATTGATTTGTAAGTAAACTTTTTGAAGTCAGGCTATTCTGTGTGCAGATTTTTAGACAGCGCAACAATACGCATACGAAATAATTCTGAACAAGAAATCGATGTTATCTTTGAAGCTTGTTGAACCAAATTCAGAAACTCAGAAATACAAAATTGTGTGAAGAAGGAAATTTTGATATCCATCATGAAAAGGAGTCTGGCCTTCCTTTAAAAGAAGTCTGGATGTGTCTTTACCTATTCTCGCTGGTCCTCTGTGAAATTTGAAGAAAAAAACCCCAACCTTCAAAGGGTGTATTATGTTGCACGAATCGTTACAGCCAGCAAGGGTTTTATTGTTTAATTTAACTTTAAAAAAAGTACCGTTTTTATTTATCCGTCAATCTTATCGGCCAATACTCCATTGTAGCTTTCGTATACGGCTTCGTTGCTACTTCCCGCACCACAACAGATGAATATTTGATAAGGCTTCTCGCGTCCCACGAGATTTTAACAAACCGGCCATTTTGCCGCGCTGAATTTTTCATGGGCCTAGCGCGTGCGTTGGATCGGCCGACTGCAGAGAACTCTTGGACGAAATGTGAAAAAAAATCAACCGAGTGAGATCGCAGTTGCTTAGCATCCATACTCGGTATACAACAGACGGCCTGGGAATAGCAGGGCACAGCAGTTGGGAATGTCCCCCCTTTCTTTTACTTCATCTCTAGTTTTTTTTACTCTCTTTCTACTCTCTTCTCCCTCAACGAGGGAAGCATTCATGGGCGATCGCGCATCAAATGCAGGCACTCCGCTCCACGGCTCTCGGTGCGCAGTGGGCGAGTAACACTTCCTGCCGTGCGGGTATTATCCCTTCCTCTCTCTCCGGGTGCGTAAAAGCTGGCCACTTAAGCCATCCCGCGTCCTAGACAATTTTCTTCAAACCCCCCCCCCCCCCTCCGAAAGATGGTTTAAGTTTTTATTTTATTTCCCTTATTTCTTCCCATAGCTCTTACAAATCTGGGCCCCCTACCGGGTTGGGCCACTATACGACATTACTTACGCTTGGAAATTCTCTTCGAAATAGCCCCGAAATAGAAGTCACTATAAAGATACACTTTTTGCTTCTTTTTTTTCGCGATAACTGTGCTCGTTGTTTTGCTCAAGTTTTTTCTTGTTAGGAATTCAAAATAAATTAATTTTCTGTCTTGAATTCAAAATAAATTCTCAGCTTGTATATGATTGACTTTATGATTTGAACACTTAAGTTTTTGTATTTCTACGGAGGTGAACTGTTTTTAAGCAAGACACTCAGAAAGAAATCACACGTCAAATCATAATTAACCGGGGTGAACAAAATGAAGATTCGCGTAGGAGAATGCAAAATTAAACAGGCGGTAACTCGAGGTTTACCTCGACGTTTTACAAGGTTTAACAGGGTGTTGTGGGGTACCTCAGGGTAGAACCTGGAGTTACCTCCTGTAACTTGAAGTTTACATTGAGGTTTTTCAAGGTTTAACAGGGTTTGGTGGGGTACCTCAGTGTAAAACCTCGAGTTACCGCCTGTAACTTGAAGTTTACATCGAGGTTTTACACGGTTTAACAGGGTTTGGTGGGGTACCTCAGGGTAAAACCTCGAGTTACCCTCTGTTTAGTTTTTCATTGTTCCCTAACTTGTCACAGTGCATCCAAATAGTTTGTCATTGGACTTGAGACCGGATGACTTGCGATTGACTCGTTAGGTTTTGACAATATCCCAGTGACATTGAGAAAGGGCAGCAAGCTACACAGATAACTCATGATGAGATAGAATGCTCTATTAAGTGTTTCGATTTCTTGTCACTATTTCCCGGCAGGATTTACACAGACGACGACGTCAATTCCCAAGGCTGGCATCGAATCCTCAACCCAGATCAGACCAGGTGAGAACAAAAACAAAACAAAGCAGCTCGGTCTCTCTTCCCCTTAACTTCCATCAAAGTTCTGTGCTCCCATCCCAAGTGCCACCCTATATCGTCCACTGATTGACCGATTCACAGACTGATTGACTGATCCACTGACTGACTGAGTCACTGAGTACAAATTTAATGAGTACACAGGCCTAATCAATGTCCTCATAATTAATGTCCTCAACTGGAACTTGCGGGTCCTGCTACGCTCAACCAGGCAAGCCTGCTTGTCTGTCTGAACCACGGGATGCATCCCTGCGCTACTTCGTTTCGAAATCACATGTGAACTATCTTTCACTATCTCCATCTTGTTTTCATTCTTCATCCATAAGTCAAGTATTATGTGCTTCTATCTCATATCATGCTTGTGCCAAAACAATAAAAAGATGTACCAAATGGCGACACTTTCCATGTACAAATATCACGTCAGAAAACCAGGACAAAACCAGGGTATCACTGAGAGGCAATTAGAAATGCTTAACTCAAATAGATCTACGCATATGATTTGAGACATGACATAAAACCAAATTACCTGGTAATGCCCTTTCCAAGAACCTGAATAGACCTATATCATGCTTCCGCCATTTTAGTCATGTTCCCTGTATCCAATAACAGTACTGAATGATAATGTTTTAGGCAAAAAGGAACCAGACTATTTTCCCTCCAGCCTCGCTTTGGTTACATTGATTTGAATGGGAATAAAATCGAATGGCTGCAACATGATAATGGTCTTTTGGCCAACTTTTCCCCCTCCTTGTGGACCGTCTGCCCCTCCCCATTTTAACCGTCTTTCTCCCCCTTCTCCCCTGCTCAACTCTGCCTCTCGTGTCTCCCATTGATTATCCGTCTTTCTGGTTTCCTCCTTTCCATCCTTCCTTCCTTCCTTCCCATTAATTTCCTCCGCAAGTCGATCGCTTCCCCCTACCACCGTATATACACTGTACACGTACGCCGCGAGTCGTGTAATATTATGTTTGAAATGTAACCGGTATGTGCAGTGACGTTTGTTATATAATGTTACCGGCAGGGCCGCGAGTGCGTCCGTGTCATTGACCGATATTTTTGTTAGATGTCCCAATATTGCTTTGGTTAAAAAAAAAAAAAACCTCCAAAAGATCACAATAATATCAGTCAATATGAAAAAATACGGAAATATTAAAATAAGATATTGTCAGAAAAGGAGCAATATTTCATGATCGTGATGTATTGATGTTTGGGTTTTTTTAATATTCACTGCAAAAACAGCCGTGTTAAATTTAAATTGGTATCTATATATGACCATCTGGTTTTACATTTCACTGGTGTTGTCCTATATCGATACCAAATGGTGTTAAATGAACACCATAGTTTTTGCAGTGTTGGTATTGCCGCAGTCGTCGTTGTCGTTACCTTTGTCATTGTCACTCTTGTGGCTTGCCGTCAGTGTTGCAGTTTTATGTTGAGTTGTCGTCGTCTTTTGTCGTCGATATCATAGGTTGTCATTTTAGTTGTTTTTTCGTCATCATTGTTTTAATCGATGCGGTTGTCTTTCACGCCGTCGTTGTAATTGTCGTTGTCTGTTGTCATCGTTTTCACCTTAGTTGTAAGTGAAGTTAGTTCTGAACTTCATGTTCCATGTAACATGTTTGTCAGTCAGTTCCTCTGTGTGTCTGCCAGTGTTGCGACTACCCCTTGTTACATGAACTGTCCCTCTAGGTTTTCTTTCTTTTCTTTTACTTCTTTAACTCTCTCATCATTCTTTCTCCGTCTCGACAATTCTCTCTGTCCCTCTCTCAACTCTCAGCTCTCACTCAAGGCTGGGGCCCGCTCCTGACAAATTGATTTTAAAGGTCACTAATGGCATTCACCAACGCCAACCGCAAGTGCAACTCATTGTGCGCAATTCTCTTCTGCTATAGTGGTTAAGTGCTCGGGCTTGGGGGATAGAGCGAGCTTAATGTTCCCGGCCGCTGCGGCGTGGTCGTCTGCTCATAATGCCTCCTTGTGTATAGCAGCGGCACACGAGCAATCGTGAGTCCCAATAGACGAGGTTTTTTAGTAATTCTGGGAGCTTTTTAGTCACGGGTATTAACGGTTACGTTATTGTCCACACCTGGTTAAGTCCCGCGATGGCGTTTCCTAAAAGAACTTCCTTCAGCCCCCCCCCCCCCCTCCAGGTTCCCGTAGACAACAGCTCCAATCCGCTAGCCCGATTGTGGTCAAGTGTACACCAAAACAAGAAGAGAGAAAATGATAGAAATCGAATCCAATTTGGAGGAGAATATTTGCGATGATGCTTGGCTGATCGCGTGAATTTTGTGTGATGCAATTAAGCTGGCCATCGAAGGGTGTATAAGTTTCTCTGTAGTCAGGAAGATTGGCGCACAATATGATGGAATTGTTCATTTGATGATAAAAGTATGAAATTTGGCACACGGTCAGAGTGTGTCATGGGAAAGATATTTGGCTAAAGGGCCTTTGCAGATTTATCCTTTGAGAAAAAAAATCATAGAATAACATGCAATGGCCGCCATTTTGAAAATTTGGAACATTGCTTGTTATTCAATGATATTTTTTTCAAAGGACGAATCTGCGATGGCCCTATAGCCAAAGATCTTTCCCATGACATACTCTGACTGTGTGCCAAATTCCATACTTTAACCATCAAACTGAACAATCTTATCACCAATCTGCTGTACTACTGGGCTGACTTGAAAATGCAGAGGTACCGCTCACAACCCAAAAGTGCGATTACTGTAAGCTATGGGAAGAAGACGAGAAACACGACAGAAAAGAGCACTCCGTCCCTGCAAAACGACCAGTCCACATACTTCACATCGAAAATGCACAATCAAGTAGTTTCAATTAGAAATGCTTAGGTTAGCCCTACGTCCCCCTGCCTCCCCCTCATTTGTTTATAAGAAACAAATAAAACAAACAAAACCCAGCATCTAGTGTTGTGGTCGAAGTTAAATGAAAGTAAATTATTCCATGGTTATTCCAACGGTGTAACGAAAATGACTTCACGAAACCCAACATGTCATCATAAAATACACCGTCAACGGGACAGTGGATCTCATCCGCCGTAAAATCCCTCTTGTCCCCGGACAATGGCCCCACGTGCGAGCCGCTAAGCCGAAACAAATTGCACCGTTCATCCTTCTTAGTTCTCACCATCTCTTCTCTCAACCGGAGTACTTTTACTTCCCCACCTCCAAAAACAATAAGAACCCAAACTTAAGTAATCCTTCCGAACACCATTCACTCACTGACGTCATCTTCTACCCACTATCGATCCCATTGTCTAAACCCCACGAGTTCCCCCGTCCGGTCGGCTCGATATAGGAGTCTAACCCCTGGATAAATATTTGCCCTTTTTCAATAGCATCTACTCTTCCACACACCAAATCACACAGGACCCTGTGATAATCCACTGGAGTTCCGGGGGTTTATCGGCCCCTCGCACGCGTGGAATTCTTGACACCGGGCGCGTGCCAACCTTCTTTTGTTCCCCTTTTGTAACACCTTTACGACCTGTCCACAATCCAAACACTTTACGCGCTAATAGGATTGCTTCCCATAGCCCTGAGCTTTATGCTTACTTTTCTCACAAGGGGTGTTCCGATAAGCCCCTCTGCCCGAAATCTTCAAAGCAAACTCGTCCACGCGCCCACTATCGGAAGTGATCCTGAGGGCTTAACACTAAGTTAACAACAGACCTCACCATTCCTGGTGACGAGCACGAGCGAACAAGTACCGCAAACTTTTCTGCTTTGGTGTTGTGCACGCACTCGGTCGTTTAATACCAACAAGGAGAGAAGTCGCGTTTGTGCCTACTAGCACCAGAAATTCTTTATTGGGGCTGTTGTGATGGGTTTCAGCTATAACTCTCCGCTTTCTGGCACTGTTTTCACAGATCCGTATCAAGTCTTCGGTCCCACCAGCAGAACGCTTGCAAATCCAGGTAAGCTTTGTTTTTTGTCGTCTTATTCATCTTTACCCCCATTTTGCTGTGTTGTTTGTTTTTTCGTTGATTCTTTTCAAAGGCATGTCACTTAATATCATCTGTCACTGTCCAAAAAAGGAATCAATTCACTCTGTTGGAAACAAAAGCAATAAAACAACAAACAAGCAAACATTGACAATCGAAACTGTACTTTGAAGTTTAATGGAAGTCAAGGGCAGATCCAGAACACACTTGGGGGGCCAAAAAAAATGTGGTCTCCTAAAAAGTGGGGCAAAAATATGGCGTGAGGTTCTGGTCCTGCTATAAAGGCCCGAAATTTGTTTGGTTCTAGATGCTCTGTGCAGTGGTGCGATCTGAGGCAATTTCTGACCACTTTAACCATATTTTTTTGGAGGGGGGGGGGGGAAGATGGTGGTATACGCAGTGCCTGCCTTTATCGCGACGTCACTTAAAAAAAATAATAAAAATGGGGTTCGTCTTTGGGGGCATGGCCCCGTTGACCCCCCCCCCCCTCCCCCTCCCTCCTCCCTCCTCCCTCCTCCTTAGGCCCTACTCAGCACTAGGCACCAGCACCATTGTCATGTTGATGCTAAGCTGTACTAAACAAGCCTGGCAAAACTTGTAGCTCCACAAGCCTGTCGGCACACTGTGGTATTTTCGCAGGTCCTCTGTGCCTTCTTTACCTATTGAATAATCCAGGCCTGGTCATAGCTTGTTTTTGTTTAATCTGTATGAGTTCCAACATAGTGGATTTAGCATTCTGGGAAAATGTTTATCATAACGCTCGTTCGTCATTCTGTTATGCTATTTCGTTTCATAACCGTTGGCTCACATGTGTGAGAGAGTCAGATTTTAGTTTTAAAAAAGGCCTAAAGGCCGAATCGGAAAATGGCAGCAGGAATTAAAACCGATTTGTTTCAGTTCACCCACCGACGGATCGAGATCAGAATTCCACTTATTCGTTTCCCCCGTACTCTTAACCGCGTTTTGCCCGAAGGCTTGATCACATTTTTATCAGAAGAAAGAGAGAGAAGTAAACGCTGTTCACTTATCAAACTCAGTCATGTTGGAGACGATTTTTCCAAGGACCGAACCATTTAAAGTCACGCACTCTATACGGGGATAACTCAGTGATCAGGCTAACTTTTGCCTCAGAAAACTACCGCTGTCTGTCACATTATTTGTCGCTATAGCTGTCCGGCAGATAGGTGATGGGAATGTGCCTATGATGATACAACCACGGCATTTGGCACATAGTCAGAGTATGTCTTAAGAAAGATATTTGGCTCTACAATAGGGCCATCGGAGATTTGTCCTTTGAAAAAAAAAAATAGGTAGAATAACAAGCAATGGCAGCCATTTTGAAAATTTCAAAAATTGCTTGTTTCCACCTACATTTTTTTTTCAAAGAACAAATCTGCGATGTCCCTATAGTCTAATTAGCCCATCAACATGGGGATTTGTTCAGTATCAAATCGGGGCATAAATGATTACAGTGCGCATGCGCAAGGTATACCGCCCCTAGAGTGGTAACAAGCATTTTGATGGACATTTTTTGGTGGAAAAAAAGTGATAAACCCAAAAAGCTGCCACCGCTGCAATGTTATCGCATATTATTTTCCAACTCTGGAGGTGTATACACGTACCTTGCCAAAATTCGCTATGACGATTATTCCCCTCATTTGGTACCGGTGGCCAAAAATTTGGATCGAGGCTGATGGCCTAAATATATCTTGCTTAAGACCATTGAGCTGTAGCTCCATATTAAGAGATATTCTGTGCCAAATGCCATGCTTGTATCATCACATGCACAATTCCCCCAAATATTTCCCCTCGCTGCCCCACTACAATAATTGTATTGCAGAGCGTTTACCAACACCCACACAGATACCGTGCACCGTTAATAACACATTTTAATATCACAACAGTGTTTATTTCGAAGGAATAAACGTTGCCTTGCGGCCCTATACGAGAAGAAAAAAAGAACACGTCACAGTAGAGAAACTTTGTCGGCATGTCTAGGGAGTATAATAGAGGGCCGGCAATAATTTTGGCGGCAAAAAAAAGGGAAGAAGAAAGGAAGGAAGGGCCTTGTAGCTCGGAAGCACGGACGGCTGACTGACGATGTTTGCAAAGCCACATACTGCCGGGGATGCGGGGATCAAAGCGCGGCACAATCTCAGCCCAGACTTTGTTCATCTCGGTCCTGACCGAAGGGGGAAATTTCCGGAGGGTTCGTAGTAAAGAAAAAAGTTTTTTATTACCCTGAACCGGTACAGTTTTAATTGTAAGATGTCAATTTTTTTTGATGCAGTCAATATGCAATGTCGCCCGTTTCCTTCTCCGCATCTGCTCATGGAGCTATGGTCCCCAAGTCATAGGATTGTGTACCGCAACAAATTTCCTGCGAATCGGGACTGTTTTAAGACAACAGCAAAGTTAAGGTTCGGTTAGTGGTGCAGTTTGTTTAATATTATGAGGTCGGTCACTCGATAAATGATCACCAGACCCGTTGGCCAGTCAATATCCGGATGGAGGAACTGTTTGGTGTTTAAGGGGACTATTACAATTATTTAATAGTGGAGATGTCATTTCGTGGTTTGGTTTGGGACTCGGCCCTCCTTCCTTTCTACGGAACATGTGGTATATCATGGAACATCTCAAGCCGTCAATTATAATCTCCATGCTACTCATGTGCACCTGACATTAATCTGAAGTGAACAACACGAAATTTGCTCAGGCCAATTACTCAATTTCGCACTCGATTGTATTTTTTTGTTTAAGTTACCACTCCTATGTTACCACAGTTACCATTCAAGTTAAGTTTATTCACATTAGAGTGAAAAGGCCCACGACAATCTGATGCACTGATATCACTAACTGTGTAAATCCCATTGGAATGGGTGAAGAACCCATAGCCTTTGACAATCTGTTAGATCTCTGGTTTGCATGAACGGATTTCCATTGCATTTGCACTGATTATACATACACAAGAGTATATTTAACATGCTCCATCAAGATGAAATACTCACGTTAAGTTTTTTTTTTGAGATATTAAAGGATATCTGCTTGCACAGTTTTCTTGGGGACACCTTTTAGCTCTGTCATGACACCGTGGATTGTTGTTCAAACATTAAGGAGAGAAAGACAATTAATGTAATGAGAATGGCTCGTAATTGCCCAACGGCAGCATAAATAGATTCACTTCATCGCACATCCAAACCATTGAGTAGAATTTCACCGTATTCACTGTCTGCTATGCATTGAAACACGTCAAGAACAATGTTCATAAGTGCTGTGTAATAAATAATGCGACATATCCAGGTAGATTTCTGATAGCCCCACGAGTCGATCTGCAAAAACGAGAAAGGAAATACACGAAAGAGAAACAAAATAAAAAGAAAGAGGGACAGTGGATGCAAATGCACCGTGTGAGTCACCAACAACTTCCAAGTAAAAATGCTTATCCGCGGCCTAGCGGACCGACGGCAATATTGGCGTCAAGTAGCGTGCGCTTGGCGAGGGACCGGGCTTGTAGTGGCCACTCGACCGTCTTAAGTTACCGCACGATGGGCCGTCTAGCACCGCGCCGCTGCTCCCCTCATCGCCGGGTTAACCGGCCGATTTGCCCCCGGGCGAGGAGTGACTTTACACCCAAAGCGGCCGGGACGCTGGCTGCTAACTAACGTGTACAATGTAATGCTCCGGCTTGTCTCTCCTAGCCAGTATGCATCATTGGAGTTTGCGGGATCACAACAAAAAGCTGTGATAATCGAGTTCATTATTAATTGACAGAAAGAAGACTCGGCTTTCATCGGCTGATTCCTAGTCGTCAGAGCTAGCAGAAAAAGAACCCGCTCGAAATGGCCAGGCTTCGTTATTGAGCTGTACTGGATGATCTGATGATAGATCATGTAATTTCCAAGGGAACATTCTTGCCTTGGGGTTCCTGAAATCGAAACATGGATGCGTTCCTCTCGATCATGTCTACGTAGTTATAGTAACCCTGAACCCATTTGTGCTTATGACTGCACAAAAATACTAGCGTTTTGATCATGATAAATTTATATTCCCACGATTTTTTTCGGAATCAGTAAGTTTAATTTCAAGTCGTATTTCCGTTTTACAGAATAATTGAGCATCTTTACTCAGAAAAGGAGAACTTTCAGAACAATTAAAAGCACTGTCTTTTTGCAATTATTCTTGTATGACCATTTTGCCATTGTATCTCTAGAGGCCAGTTCTCTTCAATTAATAACATAACTAGAAAGCACTCGGAGAGTGCAACCCTGAAGAATCCCCCGTCATATTGTCAGTACACCCAAAAGAAATACTCGCACAAACGGTGAAGAATCCTTTTAAACAATCCTGAATCCAGACCCAGATCCGGATCACTTCCAAAATCTAATCGATTTGAACTTGTACCAAGGACTGCCTCTAAGCAAAATGTCATGCAAATCCGTCCTTAACTTGTTGAGTTATCTTGTTCACAGACAAACCAACCAACCAACAAACCAACAAACTAACCAAATCCGATGAAAACATAACCTCCTTGGTGGAGGTAATAACACAATCCGAAATGTGTAGGCCGTTGTGTATGGGTACATTTTGTAACTACAAAATAATATAGGTTTTCTCGTATTCCCTTTGTAACTTTTTGGGGGGCGGGGCTTAAGCTTAGGAGGAGGGGAGAGGCTTTTACTAACGGATGAAACTCTTCGCATTCATCAGTATGCCCCGTCCGTCACACCGTCATCATCAAAATCATAAACCATTATTTTAAACTCCCGTGGTTTGAAGCGGTGCGATTGAAACGTTTTGGTCAAGTTATCAAGACAGGTTGTGATAGCGTGATACCGTTATAAAGGAATGCAAGTAGATGTCTAGTTCATTTTTTTCCCTGTTATTATTTTCTTTATCAGTTGTTTGTGTGAGTTAATTGTTTGCATTCTTCAAGTGCTTCAGTTTCTTTCTCAACACAACATTATGTGTCTACT